TTTTTTCTCCGATTGTTCGTGTTATTTTAATCAAACCACTACGGATGCCCTTGTCATGATTCACATCATCATTCTCATCATATTTTTATTAGATTTTTTCCCCGATTTTCTTCTCAGGAGGAATATGAGACTGATGATGAAACAGGGAAGCTGAATTGTGGACACTTCTATCACATTCAATGCATAAAGCAGTGGCTTGTGCAGAAAAATATTTGCCCTATATGCAAAAAATCAGCTCTGCCTCAAACCTAGACCATATACTTGGATTTCTCATATATCCTTCTGTTTTTTAATTTTTATTTTATGGATTGAATTCATCATCCTTTATATAAAGGTAAATCTTTGATGTGGCATTTCAATATATAATTTTCTTTATCGAGTCGTCCTGGTTTTTGGTTGGCTGCCGAGGTTTGGATTGAAATTCAAAACTAAGATTCCGGTTGAGATCGCTATAAGCCGAAGATCTAGCTTCGTTATCACTCTCTCTGATTACACTTGATTTGAATATATATTTGCAATTAGTTCTGTCAGTTCTCTTGCTGCTTGCAGAATATATACTTTTGGCATGCTGCAAATTTTTGCCTTAGAATAGAGAAGATAATTTTGTTAATTTTAATTCTCCTGAAAATTACTCTGAAGTGAAGATGTTTCATACTTAATAATCTGAAATTTTAACATGGTGAACAATGAAAAATATGGGTTTTATTTCTCGAAAATACTCATTTCACTTAGTTTGTGTAACAACAAATGAGTAGGTTAAATGAAGTATTTGATTTTATATCCCAACTTTCATAGAAATGAAGGAAAATTTTGCACCATTAGTCTAATGGACCTTGTTATAATCCGGTCCTTACCCTATTTTTTTCTATCTTCTAGTTTAGTATGGTTATGGGTTCTAAAGGAAGAAGAAAAAGAAAAGCAAGTTAGAATTCCTGAACAGTTGTATTCAAGAATGGGTAAGCAGTGCTGATAAATTCATATATAGGATTTCATATAAATATTAGGACACGAAGAGAATTCAAATAGAAAAACATCGTTGTGATCGTCTACATAAAACTCGACTAGAAACTAATTGATCTTGGTTCTTATCAAATTTTGGTCGTCTACATTTCATATATGTAATAACTAAGATGCAAGTGCTATATTATATGGTGTTAAAGATACAAGTCAAATCCCATAAACAAAATGTTGGAAACTTCACTACCAGTTTAACAAAAATAAATCTTGTTCTAATTTAAATTTTGGGACATTTACATTTCAAATGTGTAAAACAAAAGTGCAATGGGGTTAGAAGGATGGATTTTATAAAGATATGATATATTTGATCACTGTGTGAATAGAAGTTCAAGGCTGATCGTGATGAGAGAGAAATTCAACCACTCATGGATACACATGATGTGAATCCTGGAATTAGATGAACAACAAAATGTTCGAGGTCAGTCCAATTGAAACAAAACGAAAGTTTAGTAAGGCCCATTTTACGTGACTTACGCTTTTACTGTTGTTTTTCGTAGAAGAGTTTTTGAAAAAAGTTATTTTAGTTTTTATTTGGAAAATTAGTTTTGAAAGGATTTCCCATTCCTGAAGTGTTTTTAAAAAAAGTCAAATTAGAAGAACTTCCTCTAAAAGCATTATTAATTAGGAAGCTTTCTTAAAACTAGTCAAACGAGTTCAAATACAATTTTTGAGTCCCAAAAGCTCATTTTGACTTCTCAAAAAACTTTGAATGAGTCATCTAAATTTATATTTTCGATCACGGGCCAGTGTAATCATCTAAAGTATGGTCGACCAGTGTGCTAAGCATTGGAAAAGAAGACCGACCTTCTGTACCATATCCCGTTCACAGAATTTGTTCGACATAAGCTTCTGAAATAATTGGGGATGCATCATATTCTGGGCAGAAACTTGAGATTTCAACCCCGAGAAAAGTTGAGGAAGATATGCAACAGGGTATAAAGCTGCCAAAAATGCTCCCAATGCAATAGCAGGAACATTCAGTGCTTTTGCAGGATCACTTACATTTTATGAACAGATTCACAAGAAAAAAAAGACCGATAAAAGTAACGAACAATGTAGTAACAGTCTAATTCTGGTACATGATTTTCATTATGTACCAAAATGTTCACTTCAGGTAAAGTGAAATTCAAAAATATTTCCACAATCTCCCATTTACTGCATCGAAATCGGACTTAAAAGTATATGACACCACGAGCAGTAATAGACAGCACTATACAATCCAATCCAACCTATCAAACATGTCGAAGTCGGATTAAGCGACAAAAAGAATGCAGTGACAGAATTAGCAACAGCTTATATCTCTGTCCACTTGTGAGCAAACGTATGATGCTAAAACTCTACTTCTTTGTTGTTGATAAGTTGACAAGAGAGATAATATGTTGAGCTATCTCGGCTGAGGCATTCGGTTTTGCAGCTCTTAAAGCCCTCTCAGACATCTCTGCCATAAGAGTCTCATTATCTGTCAAGGTTTATGTAACGTGTTAGTACTGCAACAAGTAAGATTATCAGAATAGAATCTAAGACGTTTGAATGGGTAAAACACTAATAATAAGTAATAACTTCCGTATTATGTCTAAATAGATGGAGAAAAATTGATTATCATGCTCTGTCTAACTAATAAGTCTGCGAGTCATAAACTCAACTCAGCTGCATCCCATACTTACCCCCGGTTCTACATGGATCCTCTGTTTCCAATCAACTTCATAAATGGTCCTCTCCAAAGTTAAAACAGCAAGGATCCAAATCCTCTTTAATCACCTCAGTCCATGTGATTTTATATTGACCTAGACCTCGAGGTTAACCACAACCATTTTTCCTAACAGGTGCCTCTAATCGCTTTCTTTAAATGTGTCTAAACCATCTCAACAAGTTCCCCAGTAATTGTGTTCACTATCTGAAATCTAATCCAACTCGCAAATATTTCAATGTGTTTATATCAATATGAAATAAAAACATTCATGTATTTATATGAATAATATACATTTGTGGCATGTTTGGTACAAGTGATATAATAGTACTGGATAGGATCAAGGGAGAAATAGAAGCTAAAATCTCGTTCATTATACTATCCAGTATTGTATACCAAACATTCAAGTAATGTTCTAGAGAAATTTGATTCTTATATTGCTTTTTAGAATTCACAAAGATCATACATAGCAACCCTACTTTCTGAAAAAGACAGTATAAATATAACAGTGAAAACTGATGATTCGCTTTTAAATTTTAGCCATAATCAAGGAAAAACCGAGAAAATATTAAAAAAGGAAACTAGTGGCACTTTGTTCAATTTTCAGTCTTCCCTACATACGGTTTTCATGAATAGTCAGAATCCCAGCCAAGTTTTATATTCTGGCTATAATGTTTAATAGTTTTTAGATCAAAATTTGTTGGTGGAGACTCTAGTGCCACAGAAATGGAAGGTTACCAGGTTGTGAACCCAAATGTTCATTTGTCAGGTGGTGGGACCCCAGGTATTATTTCCCGTCGTTCAATTTTCTGTTCTTATCCTTTACACAGCTTCTCATGAACAGTCATCATCCTAGCAAAGTTCTCTATTATGGTTTTCTGGTTTTAAAAATATTAGTTTGTGCATGTGTTGTGCATCTATGCATCTTCATGTATACAAGTGTATACAAATATGTCTTTAACTATCACAAACAGAAAACTTTTTATTTTATTTTAAGCATGCACAGGACTGTCAGGTCCCTCTCAGAGCATAGAATACAACAATGGGTTGCTTGCAGCAACCCGAAAAGCAAAATAATGCAGGAAAAGCAGGATTCCTAATGAGGCTCTTGACAAGCCCGCTAGAGTTTTGACTAAGTATTTTGTTCATGATTAGTTAGTTAGATTTTTATATGGAACCCCATATTAGTCATCATGAAATTGGTTACTTTCTTTGCCTTCAAGGTCTTTTCATGACAATTAATAAGTGCCTCAGGTGTGATCTTCCCTCATCTTAGTTCTTCTATTTACTTGTTTCCAAAGATTCCTTAACTAGATTTGAAAGAAGGGTCATCAGCATTATCCAGCGAGGTAGATAGTTAATCGAGCATTTAGGTAGAAACTTGCGATCCCATGGCTTTGTGAACCAACCAGACATTGTTCTTGATCTCCATTTACACCATACTCTTATCCTTTGTCATTCTTAGAACAAGAAATTCAGGCACAATCCCTGAGTAACAGAATAGGTAGAAATAAAATTCCAAGATGACTTTATAGTTCATCTAGAGACCAATAGACTTGAGTCCTATCCTGCCAAAGCAGATGGAAAATATAAAAACAAATATACCCTGGTACATGGGGCAACAAAAGCAGCATCAGGTATAAGCAGCATTAAGAGAACCATCGAGGATATTTTCTTCTGACAGAACGAAGGTAGCCTTGTTGTTTTGTTCTCCTTTCACTTTTTTAAGTAAAATATGTTAGTAGGAATGTTATAGATTAATACTTCCTACTTTCTAGAGCAATAATAATCAAAAAAGCAATCACAAAATGAACAAAGCCACACGAATTTATAGTAGTTCACCCTCAATGTGAAAGGTACCATTCACCTATTTAGTTTTATATACAAAGAAGATCACAAGGCTGATCTCATGCCTTTCAGTCTGTGTCTCACATAAAACAGCCACTGAGCCACCTAAAAATCCTTCATACATCATAGGAATGTTAGGATGACCCATTACAAATGTAAAATAGCCAATATACCTCTAAACCCAAAGTACACGTAAAATATTCACCTTGGATCCCAAGGAGGTCCATCGGATAAGCATACAGTTTAATTAGGCACCACACAGTCCAACGAAGAGGTGTCTTAGGTCTTTGTCAACTTATAAAAGCTTATTTCTCTCCAGAACTACGGCAGTTTCTCTTCATTTATCTATTGTTTTCTAATTGCAGAGGTAAGCACTAGACATAAAAGAGCAAACAGAGGATGATGATTGAGCAAGCTGTAGGTAAAGGTAAACAAGCACAAGCTGCAGAGATATGGAGCTCAAATGAAAGGTTTAGAAGTTGTAATTTTATAATGAACATCAAAAATGGCTCCTCAACTATATACGGGAGTACCTCCAGGACAACATTCCTTCTTCTCTCCTTCCTTTCTCAACCATGCAGCTTGTATTTTTATTATTAACAAATTCAATGTTTTTGCAATGTTTTTAAATCCAACCCAGGCATTGAAATGGACAATGTAAAGCGGGTCAAGGGTGAAAGGGTTCAAGTGGGATTGAACTGGCCAGTCACCTGACCAAACATTGACATGGCACAGAGATCTGTTTAGTTATTTTCCTTCCCCTTGCTTCCTGTTAATTTCGTTGGTCTAGTGAATAATTTATGCAGAGACATTTATCATATAACAAATATGTTAACATGGAACCCATACAAATCTCATGAAAGAAAAATGGAATTGGGCACAACTAGCATACTCAAATATTAAGATTTTTTTGTATTCATTGATTTCAATGTTTTCAGGTCCCAGCATCCCCGGACCATCCATACTATTTGTAGCTTTCTTTCTCCGCCCATCCACACGCTCACCTGAAGCCCCAAGTTTGTCTTGCTTCCAACTAAACTTATAGCACCTAACCCAATAAGACTTGCATAACATACCCAACAATTAACCTACATTGGGGTAGGGTACGAGCTCTGCAAGAGCAAATTGTAGAGACGGAATGAACTCATGGAAGTCAGTTTAAAAATGTTTGCCACCAATTTTAAGTAAGTTATATGATATAAGGCTACTTTTGTATTTTAAGAACATGTTTGACTAAGCTTAAAAGGTTTAGTTATAAGTAGATAAGTAAGATTCGACATAAATTTGTTCAAAGTTTTGAAATGAGACACTTACTAGCAAAATAACTCCAACACTACCGTCAAAATAAGTCAATATTTCACTATAATATAAAAGAGGCTGCACGTGTCATCTCCTATCTTCAACCTATCTTTTTATTTGTTATTTTTCATTAATATCTCGACATTAAATACCATATTTTTAGGGAACCTTTTCCTTCTTTTGTGTCTACCGACAGGACACTGTATTGATTACTCTTTTTTTTTTTTAGCCCCGACACTATAATTACCTTGAACAAGAATAACGGTTTTCATACCTAATATGGTATTATTCATGAGTCCCTTGCTAAAACTTCATGTTTAGGTTTGAGATGTGCAATTTAAATGCATTATTATATGTACCTTACGTGCAACGAACATGCACACCACCGATGGTAAGAAATAGTAACCAATCCAAACATGCTGGGAAATAATAAAGTTCATTAAAATCAAGTTTAAAATACTTTTAAGCTTAGGCAAACATTGTTGCAACTAATTCGAGGAACCAGTTAGATTCAAGTACAATGTCCACATTTTTGCAACTAATACGAGGAACCAATTAGATAGATTCAAGTCGTTCTACCACCTCATTTGAAAGCTTAAACTATTTGATAAGGTGGTTCAATAGATGATAGGGGATGAAGGCAAGGTGTCTTATGGTGAGAATATGGAGGGTGATAAGGAGGGGACAAACAGAAGGGAAAATCTTGTGGATAAGGATTAATGTTAGTAATAGTGGCAGTGCTGGGCTGACGCACTGGGAAACCGAGCCAAAAACTCCATGGAGATGGTGATGCTCTAGATGGGATTGAGAAGGTGAAAAAAGGAATGAGATGGAATTATTTCCTTGGGATATGTTGAAACTTTCATAAAATTTCTTCCATGTCAGTGTTATGTCATTAACTTCCATCAGGAACTGAGAAATGACACTAGCCAACCGTCCCATCACTAAGGCAATTTTTTTTAATGGGCAAGCTCACATGAAAACTCTTTTTGTTCTACTCTATAAGCTCCTCCAATTGAATAACTTCTTATATTGAATCCCCAAAAAAGCCCTCTCCTAAGCCGGCCAACACTGGCTCGCTTTTGAGCAAGAGGGTTATAAATCATCAGCCCTTTGAAGAAACAATGTTCTCCTGAAAGAAAACGTTTTCATGCCACGGAGATCCCAATTCCAGGCCCCATAACGCCTCCCTTCATCCTTGCCTTATTGCAGCTTAGAATTCCTGATGCCTATTCTTGGTCCCCATTTGATGTAGTGCTTAAGTAACTAAGTTTGGAGGACTCTCTGCTAAGTGGCAACACAAGATATAGAGTCTGACACCTGGCCAGAAGTTTCTAGGACTTTGCAAAGTGTAACACAATATATAGTGTGCCACCTTCCTGCTCTAGAGGACTTTTTGAATATGATATATAAGATAATAATTTCAATCAAATAATTGATTTTTTCTTTCTACAAGCTCAGAGAAAAATTTATTCCAAGAGTCCAACATTCCGTAAGGGTTCAAAGTTAAGTACCCCTTACGTAAGGGTTCAAAGTTAAGTACCCCTTATGCATGGAACAGTTTGAAGCATATTTGAGAAGTCAATGAAAATACAAGGTTATAGACCTAAGCAGAAACTCAAAAACGGAAATTCATAATGGAAACATCAGAAAACAATCAAATATGAACGTAAAATGCTCTTTCTACCGTAGAAAAAAATTATGAACTCATTTTACATGAAATCCTTGAAAAATAAGCGCATGATCAGAGAAATTGTATTTCCAAAGGTCAAAAATGAGAGAAACTAGCACACAGGTAAACCAATGCAAGAAAAGGTTATTATAGTCTATATAAGATGCATTCTTTTAAAACCAACACTTATCAACACAGACGGAAAAAAATCTCTTACCTAACATTTCTTCAATAGCATTTCTAAGAGATGTCGAGCCAAGTTCATCTTCCATTATAACCCTTGAACCCGCCAAATTGGCCATTAGAGAAGCATTTTTGAATTGATGTCCCTCAGCAGCATTTGGAGATGGTATCTGCATAATTTTGAAGGAAGTTAAATCAACAAATCAAGTGGTCGAATCCATAATAAGTGTGTAGCATACAATAATTGCACATGAGATCTAGATTCTTAAGAATTGATGAATGACTGCTTTTGTTTAGAAGTGCCAAATAACTTATCAATTCCTGGATACACTCGTCACAAATTATTCTGGCGGAAGTATTTTAATTAGATCTTTAGAATATAAAAATATATATCCCAACTTTATGAATGCTGTACATATTCCAATATGGAAACTGCTGGCACCATATTTGACATTATCATACACAGGTAGAGATAAAGAAACATGAAAGGATAATGCTTTCGAGTCTTGTTGAATTTGCATCAAATTAATAGGAACTTAATTTGGGATATGAGGGAATGCATTACAGTTGCATAACAAACTGTATGGATATAAAAAGGTAAACATAGGCAAGGTTGCCTTTCTCTCATTTTCTAATCATTAAATTCAGATCGTAGACTAAAAGAAACCTTTGTACATTGATTTTTCATCCCTCTGTCTTCTCTTGAAACCAAATGGATCGCTAACATGAAAATATTCATGTTCTCGAATTTAAAAACAGCAAGTATAGGCACAATGCTTCCAAAGAATAGACACGAGAAATATAGATAGTTCAATACCAAAATACAAGGTTTCCCAGTGGCCAAGACCTCAGAACAGGTCATTGCCCCCGCTCTTGAAACAACAAGGTCGGCTGCTGCATATGCCAAATCCAAAGCAGGCAAGAACCTTCATCGTGTTAGAGCTATATCAGTTACAAATAACAAAAATAGATATCTCCAATTTAAAATGAAAAATATGCATACATTAATCAATATACGAGTGATTAAGTTTTGTTTATACAACTTTTTGATGTGTGTTCACTCTTTCTCACTATACACACTATATGCCTACTTTAAAGGCAATAAAATTGTGGAACAAACATTATAAATAGACTGACAACTAGGAAATAATTGCATTTATGTCAAAGTTATTCACCACTCACGGAGTAAGGACAACTCGGGGATGGTTCCTTGCCAGGCTCTCCATCTCAGAAAAAGCTTCTACGCCGGTCTGCCAAATAATAAACAAGTCCTCGCACTCGTTTAGCATCTGATAACATGAATTCAGCAATGCAAAATTGATCGTCTGGGCACCTAACGACCCTCCAAGCACCAACACGACCTTCACATCCTCCAACCCTTCTTTTGCAGCCACATTTGGGAAAAAATGCTGCCTCGCCACCGTCTTAGACTCCTGTTTCATCAATGACAACCTCACTGGATTCCCACACACCACACACTTGCTCCTCCGCAGAAAAGACTTCACAGTCGAATCAAAAGCCACAAAAATTTTATCTGCAAATAAGGAAAGCAAGAAATTTGCAATCCCAGGCACAGAATTTTGCTCTTGGATTACGAGCTTAACACCTTTAAGGGCTGCAGCAAGGCAAGTGGAGAATGAAACAAAGCCACCAGTGCCAATGACAATGTGGGGATTAAATTCTTGGAGAATTTTGTAGCTTTTAAAGGTGGATTTAGTGATTACAAAAGGGAGGATGAAAAAATTGTTGGGCGAGAATAAAGGACGGACCAAAGGGGCCGCAGGGACGGCGGTAAAAGGGTAGCCGGAAAATGGCACAGCCTTAGCCTCCATACTTTTGGGGGTCCCAACAAAGAGAAATTGGGTTTTGGGATTCAGGGATTTGAGCGCATCAGCTATAGCCAACGCTGGGTATATATGACCACCAGTACCCCCGGCAGCAAATACAACCCGTAGGCTGTCAGTTGCGGCGGAAGAGGAGGTGGTGGAGGAAGCACTGGTTGTTTGGTCCAGAGAGACACAGTTGAAGATCCTAACGTTCCTGTAAACACACGAAAACAGTTAACAAAATACAAGTAGAAAACATTTATATATACACATATATATACATATCTGGGGGTGGGTTGAGGTCGGGTGGATAGGGGCATGCTTGCCTTGAAAGGGGGATGCGGGTTTGAGCATGGAGACTTGCGGGAAGTGAAGAGTGGAAAATGGTAGCCATTACAGAGAAGCTGATGGTGAAGATGGGTTTGTAGATGGAGGTACACGTGTCACATGCCTAAGTTGTTCTTGGGTTTCTTAGTACATCATCAATAATCAGAATCCAAATACAATATTACAAAAATTCTGGAATCTAGGACAAGATTCCTGACTTCACTCTACGTGATCGAGGCCAAATACACAGAAAAAATCAAGAAAATGAGAGAGGGTATGGAATAAAGGAGGATAAAATTGTTGATGGATCATGTTGTATCTCCAATATTTTAAAAATCGGCCCAATTATCAATTCCAAAACGAGAAAATGAGAGAGGGCATGAAATAAAGGAGGATAACTGTTCATGGACCAGGTAGTATTTTCAATATTTTAAAAATCGACCATCGATCATAAAAGGAGAAAGGGATAAGGGTCAAAAGGTCGAACAAGGATCAAACCGGGATTGAACCAATGATTTTTTAAAAATTAAAAAAAATATGCATTTAATTTTTTTAAAAATATATACATTTAAGTAGGTTGAATCGATTAAATTGTAAAAGGGTTTTGAGTTTTTCAAAAATTGGCCGATTTAAGGGGTTTTGGAATGGGTTTTTAATTAAGGGTTTTATAAGCCTAATCAGATCGATTTTGATCCTGATTTCCAATCTTTCCAGATGAACCGACCGTTCCGTTTCTTAAAAGACTGATTATTTCCCACTATATGTCAAAACGTTTTTAATTCATAATCCTAGGAACATGAGTTTCATTTAAATATAGCATTGATTCTGCATATTATTATTCTTTCAAAATGGAGCTGAATTAACAATTTAATAGAAAAAAATAAAATAAAAAACCAAATCATTTAAGGATCAAAACTAAGTACTCAAAAAAATGTTGAAATAAGATAAGAATTGGTAGGTTGTGGCCTTAAGCCAGCCGGTTTACGCCAAAAATAAATAAATAAATAAATAATAATCTATATTTTATGTAGTTATCTTGAATTTTTTCCAACATATCCGACCCAAATTCAACTTTACCATTATTTTTTTTTTCAAGTAAATGTTAGGACCTATTTTTTGAATTTAGGTTTTATATATGGCTAAAGGCACAAGTGTGGATGTGGACAGAATTGAATCCAAGAATGTTGTAATTGAGAAATGCAAGCAAGGATTTTGGACTCTATTTGGTGATAAGATTAAATTCCATTTGACGAAAAATATCTATCTTGAGAAAAAGACATCATTAAAAATCAAATATTATCGAGAAAATTGTCGTTGTTGTCTTTAATTTATATTTTCTTTCATATTTTTATTTTGAACCTTTTTTTTGTCTCCTTCTACGATGTTCCGTTCAAAATTAATTTTAGGTAGATAGATGTAATGAAGAATATGATAGTTGATACCATCGAGCATTATTATCAAGATCATGGGTTGAATTCAAATAATCTTGTAGAATACTCGATATTATTTCTCAAACGTATTTTATAAGATATGAACCGACCTAGTTTTTACAAGAGCTAAAGGTTGAGGACCCACACTGCAATTCCATCAGGACCAAAAGTGTATGCCTTAAAGGCCCAATCCTTCAACCTCATTACAAAGTTGACCCAACCATCCTTTAAAAGAGGGAATTAAGGGTCGTTTGATTGCAAGGGTGGAAAATGAGTGAAAAGAAAATGAATTATAGGGAAAGTAGTTGCCTAAAAAATCCTTTTCCAGGGAATTGTTAATTAAGTGTGTTTGATTGATATAATTTTCTACCTAAACATTTTTTAAATTTTATGTTCATTTGACGTGAAAATTGTCCATTAAAATGATAATTTTTTTCACAATTGGTTATAAAATTTGTTTCCATTGCCAAAAAGTAAAAAAAAAAAAATGAAAAAAAATTTTTACAAGTAAAAAATTATTTTTTTATTAAAGTTTAGTTTTCGTTTGACATTGTTTTATATGGAAATTGTCCATTAAAGTGAATATTTTTTTACAATTAGTTATGAAATTTATTTTCATTATAAAAAAAAAAATCAGTCTTTTTCACCTTTGGCCTGAACAAATGTGGACATCAAACACTACTTTTGGGTGAAAATTGAATTATTTTTCCATTTTCCATGGAATTCTAGCCCAATCAAACAGGGCCTAAACGTAATTCAAACTCATTACTCTCGTATATGAGATAAGATAGTATTAGATTTTCGAGTCACTTATCTTCACTCAATTATATTGTTAATATGACTATATTTTCGTCATTAAAGGACATAGATGAGATAAGTTACTTTATCCCCAAGCCAGACATAACCTCTTAAATTTATATTTTCTGCGTTTCGTTATTGATAAGAATTGATAAAACATACATCACTGAGCTCCATTATTTCCAAAACTCATTTTCAACCAAACATTCTTACGTAAAATAATATTACACGTAAACCTAGAACTTTTCCTCATATTTTAATCACACATTCTCCAAAAAATTATTATTTTAAAATACGTTTTCTCCCAAAATCACATTAAAATGGAGCTCAGCTTTAATTAATAATAATAAAAAAAAAGTACCGGATATAAATACACTGTCCCCAAAGTTTGAGAAGTAAGATGAAATGGTTTTCACTCTACATACATTTATCTGCCTTATGCAAATCGAAATTGAACAAGTTCTTCATTCCATAGTACCAATACATAAGCAGATTAGGAGACATTGTTTACAATACGCAACAAAATCTGGAGAAAATTAACAAATTTCTCTCATTGCTAATCATTTATAGGCATCTTTAAGCACCTCGGATTTCTGAGTAGAATCAGTTTTCGTATCATCAGCTTCTGATTTGATTTGCAGTATCGTCTCTAGGAACCTGAGTCGAAACCTGTGATAACATTACTGCAGTAGCCGGAGTCATAGTATGGTATTGAGAAGGCGCCGGATGTTGAGCATAGTATACCTGGTCGTTCGTTGGATGAGAATATTCAGACCCGTAATTAGCAGTGGCGGGAGCAGCAGTAACAGTGGACTGTAAGGAAGTTGGAATTTGAGGAAGACCGACGTACTGTTGATGAAATTGATGGGACGGAACTTGAAATATCATTGGACCGCCTGTGGCCATTGTTCTATAAATACTCGAACCCATTTCAGGTTTTGAAATGGTAGTTTCTGCTGGTGTTGTTGGATAGGCAGATGGGATGGTTTCATTGTAAGTTGCAACAGGAGGAGGTGTTAATGGTCGACTCGAGGAAACAATAGTAGAATCAGCAATATTAGATGGTAAGACTCCACTCATAATATAAGGCTGAGATTGATTAACGGGAAATAAGTACATGGGAATGGGATACTGTGGATCAGTTTGAAGTGGCTGCTGTGTTTGGGGAAAATACATTGGATAGTATGACGAAAAAGGCTGTGGATTTCCAGCGGGATGTGGGATGTAATGTGTGCCGGGGTGAATAAACTGTTGTTGATTCTGATGTAGAGTTGGGATTGACATGGAATCAGAAAGTTGCTGAATGGGATACTGAGGTGGGGGATCTTGATTGGTATTGCTGTGATCAGTCACTGGGGCAGGAACTCGATTTTCCGGGCTAGCAAGTTGAGTTGCATCTTGGTAAATTGCATGGTGCTTAGAAAGCGATGGAGCAGATGCAATGCTACTATCACTGCACAAATTTGCTTCAATTATGCTACACAAACAGACTCAATGACAGGTTAAAAAACAGGAGAGACACGGATCTACACATGATTGAACAGTTTGAAAAATTAAAAAAAACACCCAAACAGGTGCTGCCAGTCAGTCTGTCCATTTTTGGCCTGTCCTTGAACCTGTTCGAGAATATTATTCAATTTGCTTTCTAGTAGATCATGAATACATAACATTGTTTGAAGGTTACAAACTCCAAAAATCATTAAAAGTAGCTAAAAGATCTACAATTTGATCTCCAAACACAAGCTTTTGCTTTAGATCATGAAATACACCGCAAATTCTCGCTCTCAAATGATGAATTCCATTATCTCAGGAGTGACTAATTCATATTGAAGTTCTTGTGAGTTTTACTTCAAGAAATTCAAAAGCTGCGACTTGAACAAAAGGTCTCACAAATACAACCTTCTATAACTAATCCTAGAATACTCCCACCTTCTTCATCGTGTCCTCTTCCTCCTCGTCACTTAGACTAGGCCTCATATTTCCCCCATCTAACTTTCTTTCTTGCTTTGGCAAGATTTGAGGAAAATAGGGATAAATATTGGATCAATATCAGATAAATAATTATGTAGGCAAAAGAAACCTGTAGAATCCAAAAGAAAGACTTGATCAAGAATTAGGTACCTTGCAACCGAGTCTGGCGACGGCAAGTTGTAACCTCCGGCATGCTTAGAATCCGGCGAAGGTAAATTGCATATATCCACAAGCTTTCGTTGCACCGGCTGCAGTGGCAAAGGCGGCTTCCGAAGCCCAGTTGGGGCTCTGTGATCTGATTTTTCATCATCCGAAATGACCCGAATAAGATGTTCACCGGTGTTCACCCCAGCAACCGAAGACACAGCGGCTGCACCACTAGTAACTGAATTAGTTGGTGGTGGTGCATTTGGAGCAATACTCACATGCGAGAATTGTTCGTCCAAACCAACCATCTGATCATGAAATCTCGCATTACCATTTTCAATTCTAACTTTAATTGGGGGCAGATTTGACATTGATGGGGACGAAGAACTTGACCCGAATGATGAACTTGTTTCAACCAGAGGGGAATCAGGCAAATTTGAATGAACCTGTTTATTAACTCCCAAATTCTCATTTTGGGCATCTAGATTTGCAGATGAATCGCTCTTTTGAATACCATCAAGTTCCAATAAGTTATCAATGGCGGCAGATTCAGATAGCCCTTTAGGAAGCAATCCAGTACCGTTCAATGCATCGACAAACCAAGTTTCCGATTTGGCATCGTCGAGTAAAGAGCCCATGGAAGTGGCGGTTTCCGGCATCGAAGGGAAGAGAAAGAGGCGAAGACGGGAGGGTTTCAACGGCGAGGCGGCGGCGGCACGGTCATATTCTTCAATCATATTCTCCAAGTCTTCATCAGTGGAGACTGAAATAAGTGAATCGAGTTCTTCATTCGGGAGCTGGTACTTGAGGGTGAAGTGGCGGCCATTGAGGAGGGAATGGGAGAGCCGGGAGAGGAAGTCCACCAGAGAGGATCGGCGGTCCATCAGCACAATGCGGGTGTCTCCTCCGACGTAGCAGAGAGACTTGTTGTGGGGACGAGGGATGATGTGACCACCGTAGCTACACATGAGGCGGAGCTTGGCGCCAGGGACAGGTGGTAGTGGCTCATCCCAGGTGTCGGGGCGGGAGCGTGGAGAAGAATTGGCAGAATCCGGGTTGGTGGTGGAGGCGGCAGGGATGAGTGGTGCAATGGCGGTGGGAAGCGGTGGCAAAGGTGGCGCTGGATCCATTGGACTTTGGATTGGTAAAGGAGTTTAGCAAGAAAATAAAGAGCAAATGCCAAATTGGATTAAAAAGTAACGAATTGAAGAGGTGGGTTGTTTAGTCCTTTTTTCTATATTTGAATACAAAACAATTGAATAATCGCATCTCAAATAGACTCTCTATTTTTAGAAAACATATTCTATTATTTGAAGGGCATATATAAATTTAGAGAGTTAAAATTTTGAAATACTCTAACAAACTCTTTATATTTAACACTTAATTTTACTATTCCTAAAAAATATTTATTATTTGACTTATTCTAGTTGTACTTCAAGAATTGTACATAAAGGTCTACATCTCCTCACATGAGAGGTGGGACCCATTGAAATAATATTTTTCTATTCGAGCTGATCCCACCCCTCGTGTGAGAGGGGTGTAGACCCTTATGTATGAGGTGATGTACCCCTAGCAATGCTCTTATTATTTTTGTTTATCTTTTATTTTAACTAACTTTATTTTAGATTATTTTATTATTTTTCTATATTAAAAATTGAAACTCTTTGAATGCATAGGGTCTACACCCCCTCACATGAGGGATGAGACCCATTGAAATAATATTTTTTTATTCTAGCGGATCACACCCCCCGTGTGAGAGGGGTGTAGACCCTTATGTATGGGGTCATTGGGGTGATGTACCCCTAGCAATGCTCTTATTATTTTTGTTTATCTTTTATTTTAACTAACTTTATTTTAGATTATTTTATTATTTTTCTATATTGAAAATTGAAACACTTTGAATGCATTTAATTATAGAGAGTGAGTTTGACTCTCCAACACTCTCTAAATCAAAGTGTTAATTTAAAGAATCTCTTGGAATATGATTTTAAGTGTTGACTCTTTAAAAAAGAGAGTATCTCATATTTAAAGAGTCTATTGAAGATACTCTAACATGAGATTGCAGTTAACTTAATAACTTAATTCGTGCTTACTGTCAAGACAAAACGTTTTGTCCACGTAGGGAAAAGTTTTGGGAGACAAACATGGCTATATAATATTGTTTGTAACCCACCATTTAAGATGACAATAAGTAAATATATATGTTACATATTTCTTTTTTAATTTATCGAAAGCTTCTAATATATTTTTGGGACAATGTGAGTTTGCTAAAGTTGTAAAAACTTGCGAATGTCATGAAAGACACATAAAAGTTGTTAATCTAATAAATAAAAATTTGACCATCTTTTTAACAAACAAAAGCTTTACACCAAACCAACAACATTGAGTAACTTCCTTATAATTATGGCAAAGTGATTCAAGTTGCAAGTTCAATGCGATCGACACAAACTTATACAATTGCACATGAATGTGATTATTGTTTTATGGGGTAAGAAACTTGAAATTGTGTACAAAAAATGATCTCCAACTTTAAATCGGACTTCATTACTCCCCTAATTTAAGTCGTGAACCACGTTACTCCTAGAAAAAGACTTTCATTCCAAATTACTAACAAATGTCCTACATAAACAATAGACATATAATAAGGCATCCCATCTAACTTAGCTTTGCCACATAATACACTAAAAATAAAATCACACCATATTTCTGAAGTGCATTCATGTTTCAAATACAGAAGGGCATATTCTGGTTAGAAAAAATGATTTAATTTTATCGATCTTTTTACATGTCCGTCAAGTTTAACATCAAGATTGATATTATTGTGATGTGGCAACTTTTTACATATTGACTTTAACAACACTTTAAACAATTAACAACACAAATTTTGACATATCACATAATATCAACATTAATGTGCACTTTGAATGTACAATTACCATAATTGTAATTTTATTATTAGGTATTAAAGTAATATCATGTGGAATGACACATCTTTTGGCCATCCACGTAGGTCATCGATTAGGAATTTAGGACGACATTCCTTTTTGGGACTAGCAAATTTCACGACTTAAAGTTAAGGGACTTAAAAAGACTGATTTTCAGTTTGGGGACATTTTACATACACGATGTAAAGTATGGGGACCATTCCTTGCAATTTTAATTTTAATTTTATATAAACATTAAAGTGTGGTGCATGAATTGCGATGGCGGGAAGTCAAAGCAATCCTCATTTCAATTTTCAATAGACTTTTGCTTTGTGCTTTCCTTAAGATTTGCGAAGTTTGTATTGATTTGGTGGAAACCCAAGAGAGTACATTTAGCACACAATTACTTTAAATTAAAATAAAATAAGGATCCGTTTGATTGTAAATGTGGAAAATGGGTGGAAAGAAAATGTTTTACAGGGAATTGAATTACCCAAGGAAGTGTTTGGTAATGATTTGAGAATTAATTCTCATTTTCAACCACACATTTTTTAATAAAATAATATTTTCCATCACATCATTAATTTTTTTTTCTTTTTCAACCACACATTTCCCATCATATCACTATTCAAAAATCAATTCTTCTCCCAAAAATCCCCACCAAACAATCTCTAAATACTATTTTATTGGAATTATAATTAGCCTATGTTTGGTATCCATTCTTTTTTTCATTCTTATT